TCCTTCCACCTCAGCCTTCCAAGTAGCCGGAATTACAGGCATGCGCTACCACGCCCGGCTGATTTTTTTTGTTTATCGTAGAGATGAGGTCTCACCAAGTTGCCCAGGCGGGTCTCGAACCCATGGGCTCAGGCAATCCACTCACCTCAGCCTCCCAAGGCGCAGGATTACAGCCTGAGCCACCGAGGCCGGCTTATACTTATTTTAAAAATTAATAAGAGATGCTATAGCCCTAATGAAATAATGTATCTGGGCAATAATCTTCAGCTGCTGCTTAAAGCATTAGACCAACAGCTGGTAGGGACCGTTACAATGAACTGTTCAAGGGGGCTCTCCATACCTAAGCCTCCCAGTGTGATGTAACAAGAAGTACACAAGTTTCATCTCTGAAACATTCTTGTCAAAAAAACAAATCTCATGATCAAGCTTTCAGATCTAACTCCCAGAGTACAGAAATTTTTTTTTTTTTTTTTAAAGAAGCAATTTCTCGCTGTCACCCAGGCTGAGGTGCAGTAGTGCAATCAAAGTTCACTGCAATCGCAAACTCCTGGGCACCACACCCAGCTAATTTTTTGTAGAGAAAGAGTCTTGCCCTGTAACCCAGGTTGGTCTTGAATCCTGGGCTCAAGCAACCCTCCAGCCTCAGCCTCTCAAAGTGCTGGAGTTACAGGCATGAGCCACCACACCTGGGCTCATAAATGATTTTTAGGGTGGTAGAGATGTGACTAACTTCTTTTTTTTTTTTGAGTTGGAGTTCACTCTATCGCCCAGACTGGAGTGCAATGGCATGTTCCTGGCCACCGCAGCCTCGACCTGCTGGGCTCCGGCGATCCTTCTGCCTCAGCCTTCCAAGTGGCCAGAACTACAGGTGTGCGCTACTACACCCGGCTAATTTTTTGATTTATTGTAGATGAGGTCTCGCCAAGTTGCCCAGGGGGTCTTGAAACCGCAGGCTCAGGCAATTCACTCAACTCGGCCCCCAAAGCACAGGATTACAGGCTGAGCCACCGAGCCCAGCTCATTCTCTTTTCATAGCCATGTACCTTTTCAATATAATGAAGAGCTATAATTTCACCAGTTCCCTACTGAGGAAGTCCACTTAGTTCCTGCCTTCTGAAGTTATAATGGGGCACATACACCCGGTAGCAAATTTATCTCTGTGCATATTCAAGTGTACCAGTCAGATGTGCTGTCAGACTGGTACTGTTGGGATATGATTTTCCATCTCGAGATGCTGCTGAATTACAGTCACCATGTTGTACATGATGAGGTCACTAGAACCGTATTCACCTTACTATTGAAAGTTTGTACCCCTTGACTGACATCTCTCTACATCTCCCACTCCTCTGTGTGGTAATTTCTGATATGCTAATGTGGTAATTTCTGATATGCTAATGTGGTAATTTCTGATTTCAAGTTTTCACATAGACAATTGTATTCATCTTTCTCTTATAGCTTCTAGGCTTTATAACGTCTCATGATGGCAAAACAAAACTCATTCTAGGGGGATCCAATCTGCTAGTGCTTCAACTAGCTAAGGCACAGTTTTCAACATTTTTCAATGAACAACCCATCTACTCCACCCTGGTTGATCACACGCCCTTCATAATACAGTATACTAAATTACCACATAGATTTCAGTCACTTTCTGTAGTCTCAGTTTCTTCCATTAATTTATTCCTTCCCTAACATTAATCAGGCCATTTAAAAAGTGAATTAAGGCCGGGCATGGTGGCTCAAGTCTATAATCCCAGCACTTTGGGAGGTCGAGGCGAGAGGATGGCCTGAGCTCAGGGGGTCAAGACCAGCTTAGGCAACTTGTTGAGACCTCGTCTCTACAATAAAAAAATTAAAAAAAAAAAAGCCGGGTGTCATAGCATGTGCCTGTAGTTCCAGCTACTTGGAAGGTTTGCCTAAACCCAGCTGCTCGCGACTACGGTGGCCACGAGCTTGCCACTGCACTCCAGCCAGGGCAACAGAGTAAGACTCTGACTCAAAAATAAATAAATAAATAAATAAAGTTTATTAACATTCTGGGTTAGTAAAAATGCTAAGAATTGTGATCCAAAAAGCTGAAATCACTGAGATTTCAACCTATACATCTGTATACCTATCAGTTTGTGAAACCTGACATCTTAAAGTTATGACTTCTTTACATAAGACCACTGGTTTAGACAGAATTTATTCTAAATGCCATGGGTGAGGAAACTCTTTCAGTTCTACATTTTTCACTGGCTCCTTCACTCCGAGCTCAATCCCCTTTCAGTCTTCACTCAGGAACTTGAATGGGATCAAACCCTTCAACTGATCTCTGTTCACATTAGTGATGGAGAATTAGTGATAAAAAAGAATGAAAATGGAGTGACTCTAAATCATATATTCTCAATGGGGGAAGGAGTGAAAATTGGTCTTAAAGAGTAAAAAAAAAAAGCCGGGCTCGGTGGCTCAGCCTGTAATCCCGCACCTTTGGGAGGCTGAGGTGAGTGGATTGCCTGAGCCTGCGGGTTCGAGAACTGCGTGGGCAGGCGAGACCTCATCTCTACAATAAAATCAAAAAATTAGCCGGACGTGGTAGCACGTGCCTGTAATTCCGGCTACTCGGAAGGCTGAGGTGGAAGGATCGCCGGAGCCCAGCAGGTCGAGGCTGCGGTGGCCGGGGGCGGCCACTGCACTCCAAGTCTGGGCGACAGAGTGAGACTCCAACTCAAAAAAAAAAAAAAAAAAAAGTAAAAAAAAAAAATTTGATATTACAATCATTTGCAGTCCACCAAAGGATCACAGTACATAAACACAGATATACAGAATATCCATGGTTTTTAAATTTCATGGGGAAGGGAGGGTGTTAATTAGGAAAAAAGTCTAATGGGCTCCTTTGGGGACAATAATGAAAAAAGCTGAGAAATGCTACCTGAAATAGATTCACTAATGTAGATAAAATATGACAGCTAAGCCGGGCTCGGTGGCTCAGCCTGTAATCCTGCACTTTGGGAGGCTAAGGTTGAGTGTACTGCCTGAGCCCGCAGGTTCGAGACCTGCCTGGGCAACTTGGCGAGACTTCATCTCTACAATAAATCAAAAAATTAGCAGGGCATGATAGTGCTCGCCTGTAGTTCTACCTACATGGAAGGCTGAGGCGGAAGGATCGCCGGAGTCCAGCAGGTCGAGGCTGTAGTGGCTGGGAGCACGCCACTGCACTCCAGTCTGGGCGACAGATTAAGACTCCAATTCAAAAAAAAAAAAAAAAGACAGCTACGAAATACTAAATAAATGTACATTAAGACGAAAATGACAGCCAGGCGTGGTAGCATGCGCCTGTAATTCCGGCTACTCGGAAGGCTCAGGGGGAAGGATCACTGGAGTCCAGCAGGTCAAGGCTGCAGTGGCTGGGCCCAGCCACTGCACTACAGTCTGGGCGACACAGTGAGACTCCAATTCAAAAAAAAAAGACCAAAATGAAATGCTATCCTACAAACACTACATTACAAAAATTAAAGTCTGATAACACAGTGTTAGTGATAGTGTGTGTACTGCTACTGGGAGTATAAACTGATACAGCTATTTTATTACACAACAGAAACAAGAAAAGGACATTAAAGACTTATCTTGAGAGGATAAACACGGCCATCCCCTACAACCCAGCAATTCCTCTCCTAGAAATATACCCTAGATAAATCCTTATATACAAGACAAAGACATTCAAAAATATCCATAATATTGTTCGCAACAGTTAAAAAAAAACAACAAAAAAACCTAGAATCAATCCAAATGTCTATGAATAAGGACAGTTTGAGGAATATTTAAGCAGCAATGAAAACAAATACTCAACATGAGTAAACAGAAACATAATACTGAACAATAAAAAACAAGTTTTAAAGACACTAGGAAACTATTTTTATAAAGCTCTAAAACAAGAACACACTATTCAAAAAATTATAAAACGGTAATAAAAATATTTGTAAAAGCAAGAAAATAATACATACATTCAGGACAGTGATGAGGTGGTAGACAACAGAAAGCAGTACTGGCTATGCTCTAGCTCTCAGCTAGAGTGGCAAGAAAACAAGTGTCAATGTATGATTTTGCTTCATAACTTACGTATGTTACATCATTGTTAGTTCAATATTGGGTTCTTGGCAGGAAGAATAAATCAACATCAAATAAAACTTACATCCAATTCAAAAAACAGGTCTCTTTCTTTACTTGCAATCTCATAATCTGCTCGGAGGGCCAAGTCGTGAATTTTGGTACATTCTCCTAAATCCATGCGCTGTGGGAAAGAAAAAATTTACACATGAACATCTACCCATTGTAGAAAGCATGTAACACGACTTGGTATTACAACTTCACCAAGATAAACAATATTTTTTTGAATACTAAAACTATAATAAAAAAAATTAAGAAACAGGAGATGGTTGAAAAGCCTTATTTCAAGCTGGGCTCAGTGGCTCAGCCTTTAATCCCGCGCCTTTGGGAGGCTGAGGTGAGTGGATTGCCTGAGCCCGCGGGTTTGAGACTCAACTGGGCAGTGAGACCTCATCTCTACAATAAATCAAAAAATCAGTCGGGCAAGGTAGCGCATGCCTGCAATTCCGGCTACTTGGAAGGCTGAGGTGGAAGGATTGCCGGAGCCCAGCAGGTCGAGGCTGCGGTGGCCGGGAGCAGCCACTGCACTCCAGTCTGGGCGACAGAGTGAGACTCCAACTCAGGGAAAAAAAAAAAAAAGCCTTATTTCTCTTTTAACACCATGATTATATGATACTTGGAACTGATGAATTTAACAGTATAAGGTTTATATCTTTTAGGCCCGAAGATAATTGAACTATAATCATGAAAACTACACAAATAGCTTTTGCCAGGTTTATTTATTGCTGCATTAGTCGAAGCATTCAGTAAGTGATGGCATAGAGGGGTGAGAGGGGACTTTCAAGGAAAAGGCTGGAAAACAGTATCAGTGCAACAAGTTTCTAGGTATTCCTCCTTGCAATCTCAACTACTCAAAATGCTCAGTGATTAAGATGCAGAAACAAGGAAAAAGAAGAGCAGATAGAAATCAGATTTTGGCAATTACAATACAACCTAACTCTTGGCTTTGTGCAGCTTGTTGTATATCAAAGGGAATAAAGCCACACAAGCTGATTCAGGGCCAAATGAATCCTCCAAGCATTCTCCTAACTTGGTAAATGACCTGAGACATGTAACTGGCACACTCAGTTGCCCCATTTGAGAAGCAAAAGGCTCTATTACAAAAACAAAATGATCTATGTTGTAAGATTCACTTGATGTACTATTATATGTTCTAACTACATGTAGTACATTAGACAACAGTGCATATTTTGTATCTAAGTCCTGAGTACAAGACTCTGTGCAGACACCTTCTGCCTGTGGTCATCTATACAGCAATAGGGAAGTTTGTATGTTGAGGACCATGGAATCAAGTTATAGGATGCATGTTAACAAGATCAACAACCCAACTAGGAGACACCCTCAATCAGACAAAAAAACGTGGCTATGTAACCAGCCAAAAAAAAAAAAAAAAGGGCACCCAGGAATTCCTTTAAACTAAAACTACAAATGTATTCACAACTATTTCAGAAATTTCATGATTTACAAAATCCTAAACATTCTAGGCAAATTAGAGAAGTTTGCAGTATCTGACTCTTGGGACACTGTGTCATAGAAAGCATGCGCCATGCTCATTAACAAAACCTCGCCAGCAACAAAGCCAGTATTGGGATAGGCAGAGAGCTGGTCTGCTTAGTGTGGAGATCTTCATTTTGGCCACAGATAGTTTCTCCTTCACCATTCATACTCTGAAGTCAGAGGAAGCTCATGTCATGTCGGCTACATGGAAGATCTAGAGGGAGGGCAATAATGGTTTTAGAAGCCAGGGCTGAAAATAAAATCACCTCCCTTAAAAACCTGACAATGTTTACTTCATTTACTCTTCTAAGTTCCAGGTACTATTTATATATATTTATATAAATATATACATATATAGTTTCCAACAATGAAACCAAGCATTACAGTTGGAAAAAATGAATGGTGGCTATCAGAAAAAAATGCTTTAAACAAATGAAGGCTTATAGTTATCACAAATGAAACTAAGCATTATAGCTGAAAAATGAGTGATAGCTTTCAGATAAAAATCCTTTAAATGAGCCGGGCTCGGTGGCTCAGCCTGTAATCCCGCGCCTTTGGGAGGCTGAGGCTCAGGCAATCCACGGGTTCAAGACCCGCCTGGGCAGCGAGACCTCAACTCTACAATAAATCAAAAAATCAGCCGGGCGTGGTAGCGCATGCCTTTAATTCCGGCTACTCGGAAGGCTGAGGCGGAAGGATCGCCGGAGCCCAGCAGGTCGAAGCTGCGGTGGCCGGGAGCGGTCACTGCACTCCAGTCTGGGCGACAGAGTGAGACTCCAACTCAAAAAAAAAATCCTTTAAATGGCTGGGCTCTGGTGGCTCAGCCTGTAATCTCAGCACTTTGGGAAGCCAAGGCGAGTGGACTGCTTAAGCCCGCAGATTCGAGACCAGCCTGAGCAACTCGGCGAGACCTCATCTCTACAATAAATCAAAAGATAGGGCACGCGTGGTAGCATGTGCCTGTAGTTCTGGCTATTTGGAAGGCTTAAGTCGAAGAATCACCTGAGCCCAGGAGATCGAGGCTGCAGTGGCCGTAAGCGTGCCACTGCACTCCAGCCTGGGCGACAGAGTGAGATTCCACTTAAAAAAAAAAAACCTTTAAAAATATTATGCCACTTTTTGAAGAAATCAACACATTTATTCAAAATTAGTTAGAATTTAAGAAAGCTAAAGAGGGAAGGATTATCTGCAGTGATTTCAGTCATTTATAGAAAAGAAGTCCTATAAAGACCACCACCGCTTTAAGATTACACATCGACCTCACAGAATACAAGAAACTATCCTCTCATTTTTTTTTTTTTTTTTTGAGTTGGAGTCTCACTCTGTCGCCCAGACTGGAGTGTAGTGGCCACTCCCGGCCACCGCAGCCTAGACCTGCCGGGCTCCGGCGATCCTTCCACCTCAGCCTTCTGAGTAGCCGGAATTACAGGTGTGCGCTACCATGCCCGGCTGATTTTTTGATTTATTGTAGAGATGAGGTCTCGGTGCCCAGGCAGGTCTCGAACCCGCGGGCTCAGGCAATCCACTCACCTCAGCCTCCCAAAGGCGCAGGATTACAGGCTGAGCCACCAAGCCCAGCTCATCCTCTCATTTTAAGGGTAAAATGTTCATGCACTAGGTAGCGTTTTCTACGTGATGAATCGTTACTTTTATTATTGTCATTGTGGGGAGAGCATCTACCAGAAAACCACTCAGATTTATTAAACCTTTTCAAGCTGGAATTTCTGACAGTGAATAGGAAATGAATGCCAATCTTTGTACCTCTGTTCTTGGGTTGTTGCCTGCTGTTGGATCTGCTGTAGGAAAATGTTATAACTGTTAGTTACAGTTTATTATGGGTACTGATATCAATGCAGATTGACTTCCACCATTCATTTATTTATTTATTTATTTTTTTTTTTTTTGAGCCGGGCTTGGTGAGTGGATTGCCTGAGTCTGCGGGTTCAAGACCCGCCTGGGCAACTTGGCAAGACCTCATCTCTACAATAAATCAAAAAAATAAGCCGGGCATGG